GAGGGAAAAGTGGGGGCCCAAGGGGGGTCCAAGGGGGGTCCAAGGGGGGGCGGCCTCACGGAACATGGTCTCGAGGCGCACGAGGCAGCAGACGAAGCTGTCGAAGTCGAGCGCCAGGTCGGGCTCCGCGTAGCGCGTCACGATCAGCTCGTGCAGCCGCTTGCTCAGCTTGAAGCCTGCGGGCGGCAACGCGGGAAAAGTGGGAAAAGAGCCGGGAAAAGAGCCGGGATGCGCRGGGATCGGGGGCTACCCGCGGCCTCCAGCGCCAGGCGCATCTCGTAGGCGCTCATGCTTCCCGATTTATCCAGGTCGAACTTGCGGAAAACAGCCTGGGAAAGGCGGGGAGGCTCCGGGTGAGCGCAGGCGCTCCCGCCGGCATTCCCGCCGGGACGGCGCGAGCCGGGAGTGCATCCCGGCGCCCACCAGGTAGCTGCGGATGCGGTTCCAGAGCACGTTGAACTCCAGCAGCCCCAGCTTCCCGTTGCCGTCTTTCTGCGGCGGGACGTGGGTTAAGGAAGCGGCGGGAATCCCGGCGGCCGCCCCCTCCGGCATTCCCGCCGCATCCAAAGGCCAAGGATACGTCCATGAGGTTGACCATGCTGCGGCAGGCCTCCACGCTGAAGCCCTTGCTCCGCAGGTCCTTATCTGCGGAATGGAGCGGGAGGGTGAGGAGCTTCCCGCGCTTCCACACGGATCCCGCTCCGGAGCGGCGGGAATGGCAGCGCGAGGAGGAGGATCCCGGCCTCACGTTTGCCCATGATGCGGTTGAGGATGGTCCGCAGCTCCGTGACGCTGATCTCCATGTCCTGCGGAGGGGGAGACGGGGCCGTTGCCCTCCGCGGCCGGAGCATCCGGAGCGGCCGGAGCATCCGGAGCGGCTCCTACCGGCCCCGCCAGCTGCTGGAAGAGCTGCCGGAAGCTGCTGTCGATCTGCGTCTCCGAGAGCGCTTCCTGCGGAGGGAGGAACGCGGGATCACCCCGGGCGCCGCATCCCACGGGATCATCCTGGCGCATCCCAGCGCATCCCGCGGGATCATCCCAGCGCTCACCTCGTCCGGCAGCGTCGCCTGCACCTCCTCGTCCATCTCCCTGCGGAGCAGCCCGCAGGGCTGGGAACGGAGCCGGGCGCCGCTTCCGCTCCCCTTTCCCGTTCCCTTTTCCCCTCCCGTTTCTCCTCCCCTTTTCCCCTTTCCCAATCCCTTTCCCCCTTTTCCTGCTCCCTTTCCCGCTCCCCTTTTCCCCTTTCCCA